TTTCATGTCCAGTTTCCAAATGCAGATATTATTGCAGGATCTGCTTCTTGGTCCAGTCTGTCGTAGCTTGGCTCAACTAGGAGAAACTCCAGTGAGGGTGAGCCATTCTCTCCCCACCGCCCTGCCCCTCCCCACAATAGCTGCGCTCTTCAGTCTGGCAGCCACTAGCCACATATGGCTATGCAAAGTCAAGTTAACTAAATGCAACTAAAGATTTAGTGCTTCAGTTGCATTAGCTACGACTTAGTGCTTCATAGCCACACGTGGCTTGTGGCTTCCACACTGGATGGCACAGATATACAACATGTCCAGCACTGCAGAAAGTTCTTTTGGACTCTGTGGCTTTGTAGCATTGCTGAGTCCCAAGAATGAAGTCTTCTCTTGGTCCTGTGGTATCCTGTTCCCTTGCTGCACGATCAATGTCAGGTTGCTTGTTCTCTCCACCCTAGAGTGCAAGCTCGTTGAGGGCAGGACTATGCTGGCTGTGTTCTGCTTCCCATGCCTTGCATGCAGAGGGCATCGTAGTGCTTGCTTGTTAAGTATAAAAGTGGATCAGTGGATGGCTGAACAAGCAGTGTTTGTGGACCCAAGTAATGCCCTAGGGTCCCTGGAGGTTTGGGTGAACCTATTAGGGCATAGTCATTAATGGACAAAGAAGATGTGTATATATATATATATATATATATATATATATATATATATATATATACATACATACATATATATAATGGAATACTACTCAGCCATAAAAAAGAACGAGATGTTGCCACTTGCAACAGCATGGATGGACTTGGAGGGTATTACACTTAGTGAAATAAGTCAGGCAGAGAAAGACAAATACTGTATGACATCACTTATATGTGGAATCTAAAAAATACAACAGACTAGTGAATATAACAAAAAAGAAACAGACTCACAGATATAGAGAACAAACTAGTGGTTACCAGTGGGGAGAGGGAAGGAGGGAGGGGTAAGATAGGGGTAAAGGATTAAGAGGTAAAGACAGCTATGTATAAAATAAATAAGCTGCACAATATAGCCTTATAAATAAGGTTATATTGTACAGCACAGGGAATATAGACAATATTTTGTGATAACTATAAATGGAGTATAATCTTTAAAAATTGTGTATCACTGATTGTACACCAGAAGCTTATTCAAAATGGTAAATCAACTATACCTCAATAAAAAAAAAACAAACCTCCATTTTATAGAACTCATTGTCTTTTTTGGTTCCTAAAATAGATAAAAATTAGTCACCACAGATGATTGGAGATGGTCTTTAGCAATGGTCCTGGACTGTTTCAGAACTTTTTCCCTTGGCCTTGGAGGCCAGTCATTTCTAGATGGACCCTTTTGGGAGCTCTTCTGAAGCTGGAAGGATCTCCATGTGTGGAGACAGGTGGGGCTTCCTCTGAAGCTGCCTTTAACCTGTCTGTCTCCACGCAGTGTTCCCCTAGTTATGAAGCTGGTCTCGGCAGAGCTGCCATGGCATCTCTGTTGGCCCAGGGCAAACCATTTCCAAACCAAATTTATGGCCTGTTCTTCAACACCACAGGGATGCCTGCAGCTCCCCTCTCCCATGAGCTGTGAAGAGACAACAGGGCAACCTCTTTGAGTTTGAAAAGAAACCGTGTCTTCCACAATTCCTCTTTTTTGAAGGTGAACAAAGCTGTATGAGGAGCTTCTCACAGTAGGTTTAAAGTGCCTGGAGGGCAGGGCTGTCTTATCTGGATCTTCAGCAGTTGGTGTCTCACATGGAGTAGGCTCTTGGTAAACAGTTTTTGACTTGGGAATCCAGTTGTTTGTTTGTTTGTTGTTTTTCCATTATAGTTTATTATAAGATATTGAATATAGTTCCCTGTGCTATACAGTAGGACCTTGTTTTTTTGCTTTTTATATAGTAGTTCGTATCTGCTATCCCAAACTGAATCCAATTTTGCAATTGGGTCAGAGTTTCCGTTTGCAGTGTTACTCTGTAATGATTCAAGGCAGTTCAGTGTAGTGGTTAGGAGCATGGCTCTGGAGCCAGGCCCTGGGTGTCAAGTTCAGCACTGACGCACACTTAGCGTACCCTGCCTCCTAGGGCTATTGGGAAGGTTAAATTAGTTAACGTATCGTAAGTGACGTATGATTATCAGCACTTATTATTATCACTCTTCAGACTTAAGGTCTGGCAACCAGATCCCTCTGTGACCAAGGATGAGTTCCTTGATTTTCCCAGGTGTTAGAAGATACGGATATTTCTCTCCTTGTGTGATCGTGAGAACAAAGGGCATGCTGTTCCCTGGCTCCTGGGGATTGACATGGCAAAATAACTAACAAATAGGTCTTAAAAGCAGGGTCTGACTTCATGTAAGTAGCCCTGACTTCCACGGACCAGGAGAGAGTAGCGTGACAGCAGTGTCTTGATCAGTTCTTGGACAGCTTTGAGGCTACTGGTTGGCCTGCAAGCCAGAGTGTGAGAACACTGATCCCAGCCTCTGGCCGGCGCCTGCTGCTCACCAGGCAGAACTACAGAGCCAGGTCTGGCTGCATTTCTAGGCTGCAGACAGATGAGGAATGAGTCTGAGGGAAGAAGAGAGACTTCTAGTCCAGCTTTGCTGGTTGCAGCCACCTGGGTCCTGTGCGCATCCAGGTGCCCACAGCCAGGGCTTCCAAGCCTGCATCATTCAGCTGGACCTTTGGGTCCCAAGTTTTCCCTGGTGCCCAGTGGGTCGGAGGCTTAGAGGGCTGTAGTGGCAGAGGGGCCTGGGTTGGGGATGGAGAGAGAAGAGACTCACCTCTCAGCCTCGGAGATAACTTATGTTCTGAAGTGGAGCTAGGGCAAGAAGCTGTGGCCCACCTCTGCCCACCATGTAATGTGAGAGGGAGGGGAAAAGCTTAGAAAGGGAGATGGGGGGTGGGGTAGGGGAGTGGCCCAGTGATCCCCGGGGATGGCAGGAGCCTGGGAGACCAGGCCTGTCACGTCACACCAGCTGGTTTGGAGGTAAATGCTGTGTGGGAAAGGCTGCTTCAGGGATGCGTTCATCCCACAAATAATCAAGTACTGCAGCATTGTGCTGGATGCTGGAGATGTATTCACGGACAGAAGAGACAGAATCCTTGTCTTCTTGGAGCTCAGAGTGGGGGATTCCATTGCTAATCAAATCACAAAATCAATTCATCATCAAACTATGTTATGAGCCCTGAAGGAAAAGTGTGGGGTGGGTGAGAGGTTATTAGAGGGGGACCTGTCCTCACCTGTGAGAGTCAGGGAGAACCTCCCAGATGAACCCAAATCTGAGCAGGGGTGGGAGGAAAGGGAGAAGGAACAGTGTGTCTAAAGGCCCAGGGGTAGGAGCAAATGTAGCCCATTTGGGAACTGGAAAGTAGGCCAGTGTGCCCGACCAGCAGGGAGCAAGGTGGGGACAGAACAGGAAGAGCTGAGGCCAGAGAAGGGGCCCCAGTGTCAGATCTGCCAGGCCAGGAGACCGTGTGAAGGTCCCCAGGGACAGAGGGGCACCACTCAAGGGTTTTAAGCAGGGGCAGCCTGAGGGAAGTTGATCCTGTGCAGGGGTGAGTTGTGGATTGTATTGTCCAGTTATTGTTTTCCAGCTGTATTCTGCAGTTGTTAACAGGGCTTCACTGGGAAAGGGGTTCATGGTCAAATAAGTTTGGGAGATACATAATCACATATGCTCTTGATCTGGTTATCTATTGCTGTGTAACAAACCACTCGAAACTTAATGCCTTGCTGTACGCCTGAAACATTATAAATCAACTGTACTTCAATAGAAAAAAATTTTTTTAACTTAATGGCTTAAAACAACAACTTATTAACTCTCACGGTTCTGGCGAGTTGAGTGGGCTCAGCTGGGCGGGTCTTGCTCAGGGTCTCTCAAGCAGTTACTCCTTTTCATCTCTGTTAGTTGCAGTCAGATGATTGCTGAGGTTAGACTCATCTGAAGGCTTCCTCACTCACATGTCTCTGTGCCCGTGTTGGTTGGGCATTTCTCTCTCCACTTGGTTTTGCCTCATGTTAGCTTGGGCTTCCTCCTAGCATGGCAGTCTCAGTGTTGTTGGGCTTCTTACATGGTGGCTGGTTTCCCCCAGAGTGAGTGTTGCAAGAGGCCTGGGAAGAAACTGCAAGGCTTCATGTAACCTTGCTCAAAAGTCCCAGAACATCACTGCCACAGCATTTTATTGGTCAAGCGAGTTACTGAGGCTGGCCCAGATTCAAAAGAGGGGAATTAGACCCCACAGCTCAACAGGAAGAGTAGCAAATACTTTGCAGCTATGTATCTTTAATCTGCTATACCTCTTGGAGATTCATAATGCGTGCGAATGTACCAAAGGTGTCTGGGAAGTCCTGCAGTAAAGAAAACTGTTTAACTCCACATTTCACAATCTGATGATGATGATATATTAAATCAGGAAATTCCTTTCTCAGAGAAAATTGCTTAACTTGTATTCTGCCAGAGAGCAGTGGGCAGAATGGAAAGGTGATAGATTTGGGGGCTCAGTACTACTTTCTAATCAATAAAACTTTCCAAAGATGGAAAGTAGAGATTGCTAGTGAGTTCCTGGTTTGGGGAGGTACCCAAATAGAGCCAAGTGCAGAGACCATCAGCATGGACCAGGAGACCAACTGTCCCAATGGTGAAAGCTTCGATTTGACCTCTGACCAATCTAGGTTCAAATTCACCACTTAGAGCTGTGTAAAACCCGGCAAGTTACCTCTCTCTAGCCTTCAGTTTCCTTATCTACAAAGTAGGTAGTTCCTATTCCATAGGGTTGTGAGGATTAATGAGATCCTGTATGTGAATTACTGAGCACAGGATGCCTTCCTTGGTTAGAGTTTGTGGCTGCTTAGTTTCCTACCATGTCTAGGGCTTAATAACTTTCGGTTTATTCTGGACTTGCTTCCCAAGGGCAACCTAGTATTGTAAGTCATGGACTCATCCTTAGTTTTCTTGCAAAAGTAACCTCTGTACCCTTTCACTTTTTTCCCAACCTAGTTTCTCATAAGTGACCGTGACCCTCAGTGCAACCTCCACTGCTCCAGGACTCAACCCAAACCTATCTGTGCCTCTGACGGCAGGTCCTACGAGTCCATGTGTGAGTACCAGCGAGCCAAGTGCCGAGACCCAACCCTGGGTGTGGTACATCGAGGTAGATGCAAAGGTGAGTGTGCACGTGCCCAGCAGAGGAGAGATAGCTGAGCACCGTGCTCCCTGCATGGGGCACTCCCCATAGGGAGAGCTCAGAATGAGTCTATATTCATTTCACTTGCCAACCTCTCCCCATGTCCTTTCCACCGGGCAATGTGGGAAGGAGGACTGGCCCAGTGAAGGATGAGTACTTTTCTGGCTTTTAAACACCGCCACCAGGGCTTAGAGAGATGTGCTATTTGGCTAGCGCTTTTATTTTTTATTATTATTATTTTTTTTTGTAGAGGTGCTTAAAATGGCAAGACATTGTGGCTGGCTCCTAAATAGGGATTCCACATTGTTGGCCAACAGATGTATTTTGTTTGGTCTGCTCGCATGTTTAAAAATATTTAAAACATTTGAGACAGCATTTAAAAGTTGGGAAATTCAACCTAAAAGTCTGGATTTTTGTACTTCCCATAAAAAATTGGAAGCTCTGGTGATGTTACGTCTGAGTTCCCTCCTTCAAGGCAAACATGTGGCTGGAGCTGAGTAGTAGCTACGTCCTCCCGTTTTCCAGTTTGCCACAGTCCTCAGCACTCCCTATGGTGTTGCCAAGCTGAATGCCATTCTTCACACGCCCAGCCCCTTCTCTAATTTATATCACTTTCCTACGCCCTCTAGGTATTTGAGTTTGTGACCCCTGGACTGATCAGAGCTATTATAGGAATTGTGGGAGGCTAAGCCAGCTGCTCTCGAATTCTGATTTCCCAAAGAAAGTGCTTGCAGTTCTTGAACTACAAAACATCTTTGAGACTCCTTGGGCTTGCGTGTTTTTGAATAAACCCAGTGAAAAATAATAGAAGCAGAACATTTTTTTCCCTAGGAGGGCCTGGGGATACTTGGGAGAAAAAGAATAAACAGACCTTCGTATAAGTATGACCACCCCCCACCCAACTTTTCTGAGTACCACTAAGAGGAAGGTGAGGCCACGTGGCACTCACCAGCCCCTGCCCTTGTGCCCTTGGAACAGCCAGCTGGCTGTGTGTGGCCCCCTGCACGGCAGAGTGCTTTTCCCCCAGCATTTCTAGAACCAGCAGCTGCTTTGTCCATGGCTCCTGTGTGGGATCCAAGTGAATCTCAAATGCACTCCTCCCTCTTTTAGACGCTGGCCAGAGCAAGTGTCGCCTGGAGCGGGCTCAGGCCCTCGAGCAAGCCAAGAAGCCCCAGGAGGCGGTGTTTGTCCCGGAGTGCAGCGAGGATGGCTCCTTTACCCAGGTAGGCCTTGGCCACGTCTCTCAGGCCTGGGTCCTGGGCTGAGGCTGGGGGGAAGGGCCTGGGAGCAGGAGGGCCCTGAGAGCCTCGCTTTCTGGAAACAGCTGAGGACTCTCTGACACCCTCCATGTTGCTTTCTGGGGCCGGCCTCCCCCTCCTGGGCCCCATGCCACCCCTTGCCAGCTGGCAGTGGGTCCTGAAAGGCTCATGCAGGTACGAGCCAGGAAACTGGCATTGCTTGGTCCCCATCCTCCCTGCTGGCCGTCTTCATTTTTCTCTTCTGTCAAATGTAGGCTGATTATTTTTTCTCATCCTCGCCAGTTTCCATGGGCAACCCCCGTATTCCCTTCACTGTTTATTACGACCCGTTTTATATGCCCCTCCTTCCCGCTCCCAAACCTCTAACAAAGCTCTGCTCCCTTTGAGTGTAAAGTGTCTGGGAGTTGTGAGTGTGAGTGCATGTGTGGGTGTGTGGTATCTGTGTGTCTGTGTGTGTGTGTGTGTGTGTAGGGGGTTGTCTGTGTGTGTGGGTATCTGTGTGTGCGTATGGTGTATGTTGTGTGGTGTGTGATATTGTGTGCATGTGTTGTGTGGTTTCTGTGTGTGTGTGTCTGTGTGCGGTGTATGTGTGTGTTGTGTGGTATCTGTGCATGTGTGTGTGTGTTGTGTGGTTTCCGTGTGTGGGCGGGGTTGTCTGTGTATGTGAGTGCCTGTGTATATGTGTGTGGTATATGCGTGTGATGTGTGGTATGTGGTATCTGTGTGTGTGTGGTGTCTGCATATGAGTGCATGTACACTCGTGTGTGCCTACACTCAGATTCTAAAATTTCCTTTCAGGCAGTCCTACCTCTGATCCTGTATGATCTGCTGGCTAGAGCTTGTGTAAAAGTAATGCTGGCTATGTTGAAGTTGGCACAGACTGAAACACGGGCAGCATGGGACAAGGGGTGGTAAAGCTTTCAGGCTGCAGGTGGGGACACAGTCTAGGGGCGGAGGTGGCTCTAAGAAAGTGGGGAGGACCACTGGACAAGGGTGGGTCAGCACTTGCTTGGGACGGGCCTGGTGCCCAGACTCCCTCTGTGGAGTGGAGTAGCATCTGGGGACTACTACCTGAGGGCTGGAAGCAGAGGCCTCAGGACTTACACAGCTTCCCAGTAATCCTGAGTCTTGGGGCAAAGGCTGTAGGCTGGCCGCTGGTCCACTGGGTTTCAGGTTTCATTTCGGGGCTGGGCCCAGGGGATTGCTGATTTCAGACCGAGGGCAGGTGGAAGTGGAAATGGGAGGGGTGGTGAGGTCGGGACTCCGTATTTTTTAAAGTTTCCCCGCTGATTCAAGTGTTCAGCCAGTTAGCCATAAAAAGAAACGAAAGTGAGTTATTTGTAGTGAGGTGGATGGACCTAGAGTCTGTCATACAGAGTGAAGTAAGTCAGAAAGAGAAAAACAAATACCGTATGCTAATACATATATATGGAATCTAAAAAAAATTAAATGGTTCTGAAGAACCTAGGGGCAGGATGGGAATAAAGACGCAGACCTACTGGAGAATGAACTTGAGGACATGGGGAGGGGGAAGGGTAAGCTGGCACAAAGTGAGAGAGTGGCATGGACATATATACACTACCAAACGTAAAACAGATAGCTAGTGGGAAGCAGCCGCATAGCACAGGGAGATCAGCTCGGTGCTTTGTGACCACCTGGAGGGGTGGGATAGGGAGGGTGGGAGGGAGGGAGACGCAAGAGGGAAGAGATATGAAAACATATGTATATGTATAACTGATTCACTTTGTTATAAAGCAGAAACTAACACACCATTGTAAAGCAATTATGCTCCAATAAAGATGTTTAAAAATAATAATAATCCATAAATAAAATTAAAAGACAACCAATAAAGTAGAGTTTTAAAAAAGAAAAAAAAGAAGTGTTCAGCCAGGGTCGAGAACCACAGGGTTAAGCTGACCTTGGCTGCCCACCCTGTGAGAGGTGCTTTTATTCATTTTCTCACTTAAGTCTCACCACAAGCCTGCCAGGTAGGTGTTAGTGTCCTCATTTACAGAAGATGCAATCACAGCGGGTCGCAGAGTGGCCAGGGAGCTGGAAGTCCAACTCAGATCCCTCCAGCTCCAAAGCCCTCAATACTCTTGCTGTTCTCTGAACTGGCAGCTTTAAAGGAGGCTCTGAGTGCTTGCTTCGGCAGCATGTGTACTAAAATCGGAACGATACAGAGAAGATGAGCATGGCCAGGGGTGACACGCAAATTCGTAAAGCGTCCCATGTTTTATCGTGACTCCACCCCGTCTCAAAATTCTCCCAGAAATGTGACTCTTTAATGTGTAGCTATCATAATAAATAAAATAAACGTGTGGTGCAAAATTTTAGATGAAATATATAAAAATATTAAAATTCATATCTATATAAAAAACAAATATGTACTAAAATTCCATTCTGAGAGGTTTAATCAAGTTCTCTCCTTTAACTTGAATATTATACTGTTTTGTTTCTTTTCTATAGAAATAAAAAGGCCTATTAAAAAAAAACACAAAGGAGGCTCTGAGGTGGAGACTGGAGGAAGGCAGTCTAGTGCGGTAGTTAGCACACTGCTCCTGGAGCTAGATGGCCTGGGCATGCATGCACGCACCACCTCAGGCGCGTCGCTGAACTTCCCTGGGTCACAGTACCCTTATGTGAAAAATGGAGACTGTGATCTCCATTATCGTTCTATGTGGTGATAATTATTATTATATTATATGCGTTACATGTTACTATTATTATTACTATTATTGAGTATTACTGTAGCTTACCTCATAGGGTTGTGATGAGGATTAAATGAGTTAACACATGTAAAATCTTTGGAACACATAAATGCTATATGGATATCTGTCATTATCATCATCATTATCCCCATCTCTACTCTGGTTCTACTGCTCAAATCTTCCCAAGATGTTACAGATGATGTCACCTAAGGAAAAGAAAGTCTTTTGTCGAACCTTCCCCCCCATCAATTCTTTATCATTTTTCCTAGTGAAAAGAGTGCAGGTGATCTTTGTGCTGAGAATTCATGTATGCGGGAGAAAATCAAACCCCTCACAGCTGAGTTTGGGGCTGAGACGGGGGTAATAAGGAGGAGGCGGAATCCTTTCTTCCCCCTTTCTCTAGACCTCTGTAATTCTGAGTGTGTTACTTATGAGAACGGTTGACCCCTGCCCCCTTGGTTCTGAAGCGTTTGCTGCCTCGTGACAGACAGCCGCTGGCCAGCTTTTGTTTCGGTGAGGCCAGGCTGGACCAGGTGGTGTTTGCCGGGGAGGGGAACTTCCAGATTAGTCCAGGCAGAATTGCTAAGTGAGGGGGCCCCTGAAGTGCAGCAAAGGGTGGATAGACAGTCAAGAGCCCCCTCATTTGTTTGACACACTAAGCACTGCCATGTGTCTGCAGGCTCGAGGCTGGATCACCCCGGTGGGCAGCCAGGAAGCCAGACAGCTGGTCAGTCCCCGTTACAGGGATTGAAATGGATGTGCCTTTTCCCTTGATCAAAGACACTGCAATAACTTCACAAAATGAGTCTGCCTCTTTGAGTGTGCTTCAGTTGTACTGACAGGCTGCCAAAAGGCTAGGAGAAAAAAAATGCTTTTCTCCCTCCTCCAGCCTCCACTGGCTCTTAGCTGGACTTCTTTGTTTTTGTTTCTTTTTTAAGACCAAAACCCAGAGAGCAGATACATTGTTTTAATATTGTTTAGAATATTGACATGCATGCATCCTGGTGTTAATAACATATTTTAGTCCTGTGAATTATTACTCAGTAACCTGCTCTTGAAGTTTACGGAGGGAGTGAGAGGACCCTAATGGGACTGGGTTTGTCTGGCATGGGACACAGCTTGGGACCACATGACTGGGTTGCCTTTAATGGGGTTCATGTGGGATGCAATGGTCTCTGTTCTCTAATTTGTTTCCCCTTGACCTCTTCCCTCGATACCCCCCAGCCCAACTCACACAGCAGAGTGGTAAACATTACAACATTAGGTTTTTAAAAACCTTGATATCTAGTCCACATCTCAGACCATTAAATCAAATTCTGGGAGAGGCACCCAGACATGGTTATTATTTCAAGCTCCCAGGTGGTGCCAGGGTTCGGTCCAAGTTGGGAATGACCTGCTGTTGTAAGGGCTTCATCATCCTGTTCTTGGTTGTGTCACTGGAATGTGGAGTTAAGGCTTTTTGCTGACCTGTTGAGTAAGGTTGGAAGCTACTGGTTTTGTCCTTTGATGTGGTCCTGTCTGTTTTCCCCCCTGGGTATCAGGAATGTAACTCCTGACATCTGGTCTACCGAGTCCTCTGCCAAGCTGTTTTCTGCTGCCCAATATGCTGAACTGAAGTCAGAGCCGTAGTAGCGATTTCAGCAGTGAGGGGTATGGGATCACCACCACCAGGATGTTGGCTAGAGCTTGTCAAGCTTATGCAGCACTGAATAATAATGATGGCAACTCTTTATTGAGTGCTATTTGGTACCAGGCACTGAGTTTTACACCCATTAATCTTTACTAGGACCTTTTGAGGTAGTCATTGATACCCTTATTTATACTGGAAAACTGAGCTTCAGAGGGGTTGAATAACATGTTCAAGGTCACTAAGGATTTGTGCCTAATTTCAAGGCCTGTGCTCTTGACTTTTTTATGCTACAGAAGTGTCCTTGATGCATATGTAATTCATTTTCATTACCATTGTTATTCCAGAAGTCCCCTCTCTGATGCTGTTGACCAATCAATCAAGCAGACATAAAAAAAAAACTCCTTTTGCTTATGGAAATTTTCAAACATACAAAAAAGTAGAAATAATAGTATAATGAACTCCATGTACCTACCTGTCACCCAGATTCAACAATGATTAACATGTGGCTGATTCTGTTTCATCTTTACCCTATTTTCATCTCCCACCCCACACTGGATTGCTTCAAAGCAGGTCCCAGACACAATATTTTTTCATCTCAGACATTTTGGAGCTCTGCTACGTTC